GAAGGATGTTAGCCAATCAGGGACTGTCAATTGGACTTTACTTCAGTGACCATGAGATTTTCATTGTTTTAAGCTGCCACAATTTGGGGGTTCATCTGTTATAGCTGCTAAAATTCCCTAACTAATTAGAGCCCAATTCATTCAATCCCACTGATGGATCATTCCTCCTTGGGCTGCTGGGCACTGCCTATAGCTACTGCACAGCTGCCCCTTGGGGGTCTGGGATGTTAATCACTTGGGGAGACTCACCTGAAGAAACCAAATATTCCTAGCCGGTACTGGATGGTCACAACCAGCACCTCCTCGTAGGCGGCCAGGGCGGACACATCAAAGATGGAAGCTGAGCCAGTCTCAAAGGCGCACCCTGGGATCCACACCATGACCTAAGGAGGGGAGAAAAAACACTCCAGTGGGCCCAACAGGCACCCATGTCCCCTCCCCATGCATGTGGAACATTTTATCTTCAGGGAAAATATAAACGTCATACTTTCCTTTCTAAGTAGGTCAGATGTTTTGTCTTTTGAAGAAGGCCCAGGCTTAAGCATGCAGGCTCTGGTGTCTGAGTGTGTGGTTTTGATTTCCAGCTCTGTTCCTGACTAGCTGTGTGACCCTGGGCAGATTATGTAACCTCTCTGAGGCTCATTTGTCTCATCTGTAAGATGTGACAATATCTCACTTGTAATGTTACCATGACGATTAAACTAGATCCTGCAACTAAAGCTCATCGAATAACACTGGCCCGTTTCAAGTGCTCAGAATGTGTTAACTAAACTGTGCCTGTTCCCATAGGAAGATGGAAGTCATTGTAAGCCATGTATACAAGCAAAGGTAGCTTGAGGTGTTTGAATTAAAAGCTTTTCTCTACCTGCAAAGAGAGAAGACAGGAGCAAAAATAGGGAAGAGAAGTGTAGGAACTTTACCACATTTTTACCCTATTGATTAGAAAAATTGGGACCAGGGAACCTAAACATTATTCTAATGGTATTATCACTAGTTATATACTTAAATCCCTCTCATTGTCTTTTTCAAGGTCATATTAGAGACTACAAGCTTTGGGTCAGGAAAAGAGAAGAAAGCCACTGAGAAAAAAGAGGAGCTGAGCAAAGCACTGGCTTTAGTGACAGGGTCTAGCACTTACTGTGTGTACAACCTGGAGCAAGTCACTTATGCCTTCCTGTGACTCATCGTCTTCATCTGTAGAATGGGGCTAGTCATCCTTACCCATCGGGCTATTGTGGGAGTCTAATGATATAATGTGCTGTGGCTGGCACACGGTATGCACTCAATAGGTGTTGCTTTTATGATACAGTAGAGTGAGTCCCCCATTGCAGAGGCACGGGGGAGAGAGGAGGACGGAGGGTGTGGGTAAAAAACAGATCGTAGGTTGCACCTTTCTCTTACTCACTTGTACAGGCATCTCGTACATTCTTAAATGAAATACTTA